GTGAGCCATGGGCCGAGGAAGGGCTGAGCCCTTTTGGCTGGAGCAGCATGTCCCCATGACAGTGATGGCCTGGGCTGGTCCCAGGAGCCTTGTGGCGTTGCGTGCTGACGAAGTGAGATGGCTAGAGAAACCTCGGTGTGGCTGGCTTGTGAGAGTGGGGAGCACCCTGTTCCCTGCTTCAGATGGGACAAATGCAGCTTTCATTTTGGGGTAAGTGAGCTTATGAGTAATTTAGAAAATAATGAGTATAAAACACTTCATTTTAAATGTTGGGAGAAGTATTTTTTAGTATGTTTTCAAAGCTGCAGAAGAGCAGTGAGTTTTCAGTCAATGTCACAATGATCACCTTGTCCCTCTGTCTTTAGGGAGTGCAGACCATATTTCAGAATAAAATATATAAGTGTAGAATAAATGGTAGGTGACCTTTAATTTCACATTAGAAACTGACTTTGAAATTTTGGAGAGACAAAATATGCTGTACTCTTGAGGTGGTCACAGTGCAGTGAAAAAACCTTGATTTTTCAGCAAGCAGGATCCTTACTCCGTAACAGTATGTTAGGGCTGCTTGGGAGGCTTTGCTCTTTGCTTGTACTTGGAGAATTGATTCAGGTACAAGCATAAGTTGGGAGTATGTGTAATGGTGCATTTTTCTCTGCGTGCTTCTCCCACAGCAGATGCCCAGGCTCTTTTTGCTTCATTTAACTGAAGGCAGACAAGAGAATTAGTTTTTCTCTTCCTCCTGTTTTGTGTCAATGTTAGGGCTGCTTGGGAGGCTTTGCTCTTTGCTTGTACTTGGAGAATTGATTCAGGTACAAGCATAAGTTGGGAGTATGTGTAATGGTGCATTTTTCTCTGCGTGCTTCTCCCACAGCAGATGCCCAGGCTCTTTTTGCTTCATTTAACTGAAGGCAGACAAGAGAATTAGTTTTTCTCTTCCTCCTGTTTTGTGTCAGTGCCATTGGCTGTCCTCAGCAGGATGTGGTGTTCCAGTTGAATCACATAACAGTTATACAACTCAAGTCTTATCTTTCATCCTTTTTTGGGATTCTTTCTCCATGTACCCGCTCTGAGTGTGCTCAGCTTCTTGGGGGCTGGTTTTTTGTTCACAGAAGTCAGTGAAAAATGCAAAATGACACATTTTGGGTTGGCTGCAATATATTTTCTCAAGTGAATTAAAGACCAGCTGAATTACCAGTTTGCCCCTCCTTTCCTTTGTATTCCCAAGGCACTCAAGCTTGTGGTGCTATGCTGGCAATTTATTAGTGATAACCATGTCACATTCAGAAACAATCGATGGTGAGTGGGTTTCAAGTCTTGGTGTAGAACTGCCAGAATCAGTCAGATTTTGTACTGGAGCAGCACCAAGGTGAACTGGTGCCACCAAAGAGTCGTGCTCTGCGAGTCTGTGAAAGCTCGCAAAGCCCGGCTGTTTGGCCAGGAAGATGGGATCTCCTGTAAGAAAGGGCAGAAAACCCTGCAGTGTTTATTCTCATTATTCTAAGCGTGTCTTTTTGGGGAGAGGTTTCAAAACTGTGCGTTCCTGTGGCAAGGAGCTGGGTAGGGTCTGTGATGACAGATGATGAGACTTGGTGGAGAGCATGGCTGAGAAATGCGGTTGGTCCTTCCTCTCATTTTCTTCTGAGATTTTTGTGTTGCTTCCTCTGCAAACTCATGTTCTCCTGTGAAGGTGGGTGCTTGGTTTTCCCCAATGGTTTCTTGAATAAGAAATGTCTTGGTCTTTTAACAGAGGATTTTGGGCAGAAGGTTTGCATTTTGCTTTGCTGTTTGTGCCTGTTGGTGTGAGACTTTCCCCAGATCATGCCAAGACATGGGAGCTGTCAGTTGTTTCTCTGTCGTGAAGGTGTGGCTGGAGTTGTCAGATGATGGTAGGGCCTTTGGGAAAGAACTATACTGAAACAGGAGGTTTATATTGTTAAATGGTGTGCATCAGTTCAACTTCCAGATGCTTGTTAAGGCAGGGATGCAGGCAGGATGATAGAGGTTTAATCCAATTCTAAGACCTTGGCCTCTTTCTTGCATTGAGTTCAGATCAAGCCAGCAGCATACTCTGAGGTCCCAGCACCATCTCTATGTCTTCTCAAGAGTTTTGTTGAAGTCTTTAGTCTTTGATAGTTCTGGTATTTGGCTATTAATCTGATGACCTGGCAAAACCGTGTGTTTAAAATGAAACTCCAGAAACGAAACTATGAGCGCTCTTTGTGGCAGATGCAGGTCAATTTGCCTGCCCTAAGCAGACAGCTCCTGTCTTCTCATCCCTGACACCTAAACCTGATTCAGCAAGATGATGTGGCTAAACCCTTCTGATGTCTCCTTTCTTTCAGTAGGTTGTTGTCTGTGCTGTGGGATGAGAGGAGAGACCCTTTGAGTGGGTGCAGGAGAGCCCTTCCGCGTGGGTGGGATGGGGTAGTACGTGCTGCTCTTAGCCGAGGAGCACCTGGATGGATTTGTATGACTGCCCACAGTGATGGCTCTGCAGTGAGTTAGAGCAAGTGTTTGAGCAGGAGCTTTCCAAGGGAA